TATTTTATTTGTATGAGTGTTCTGCCTGAATGTATGTAAGTGTACTACATACGTGCAATGCCCAATGAGGCCAGAAGAAGGAGTTGGATCCCATGAAACTGGAATCACAGACAGCTGACAAGTGGGTGCTGGGACCTGAATTTGGCTCCTCTGGAGGAGCAGCAAGAGCTGTCAATTACTAAGCCATCAGTCAGCCTGTTACTCATCATTTTTTTGAGACAAGAATTATTGTAGCAAGAAAGACTTAGGGCAGGATGGTTCCCACTTCTAATCTACCACTTAAGAGGCTGAAGCAGGAGGATTGCTGTAAGTTAGAAGCCAGAGTGAGGGTTTGTTTTTTTGTTTGTTTGTTTGTTTGTTTTTGTCTTTTAGAGACAGGGTTTCCCTGTAGCCCGAGCTGTCCTGGAACTCACTATGTAGACCAGGCTGGCCTTGAACTCACAGAGATCCGCCTGCCTCTGCCTCCCAAGTGCTGGGACTACAGGCATGTGCCACCATGCCCAGCTTTCAGAGTGAGTCTTTTTTTAAAGAGATATTTTGTTATTCATGTGTATATGTGTGTGTATGTATGTGCATGTGAGTACAGTTCCAGTGGATGCAGAAAGAGGGCATGGGATCCCTTGGAGTTAGAGATACAGGTGGTTGTGAGCCATCAGATATGGGTGCTGGGAACGGAACCCAATATGTGCTCTTAACCACTAAGCCATCTCTCCAGCTCCAACAGAATGAATTCTAAGGCAGCTGGAGCTACAGAGTGAGAAGGAAAAAAGCAGAGAGAAAGGGAGGAGAGAGAGAGAGAGAGAGAGAGAGAGAGAGAGAGAGAGAGAGAGATTGCAAGGTGTGAAGTCACTTTCTTGTTTGAATATCAGCTTTTGTGAAGCTGAACCAGTCATGGAGGAAAATTGATAAATGTGGCTCTGTAAGATGGCTCACTGGGTAAAGGTGCTTGCCACTAATCTTGAGAATCTGAATTCAATCCCCAGGGTCCACACGGTAGAAGGAGGGAACTGATTCCAACAAGTTGTCCTCTGACTTTCACACATTGATAAATATAGCTATATTAAATAAAGGAAGTCGGGGCTGGAGACAAGATGGCTCAACGATTAAGAGCACTGACTGCTCTTGCAGAGGGCCCGGGTTCGATTCCCAGCACCCACCTGGCCACTACGAACCATCCTTAACTCCCGTTCCAAGGGAATCCAAAGTCCTCTTCTGACCTCCAGGGCATTGCACGACACAGGTGCAATCACATTCATGCAGGCAGTACACTCATATACATACAATAAAAATAAAAATAAAAAAAGAAAGGAAGTCAGAATGGATTAGTTTTTATAAAGAAACACCCAATTGTCCTATCAAAAAATATAAGTCTCAGGGCTGTTGATGTGGCTCAGTTGGAAGTGTGCTTATCTAGCATGCACTAAGCCCTGGGTTTCATCCCTAGCATCCAATAAACTGAATATGGTGGCACATGCCCATAAATACCAAGGAGGTAGGAGGTAGGAGGACCAGAAGTTCAAGGTGTCCTCAGCTCAGGTGGATCTCTCAGTTTGAGGCCAGCCTGGTCTACATAGTGTTCCAGGCCAGCTGGGGATACAGGGAGACCCTGTCTCAAAAAACAAAATAAAACAAAACCAAAACCAAACAAACAAAAGGTCAAGGTGTCCTCAGTTACATAGCAAGTTCAAGGCCATCCTGGGCTGCATGAGACCCTGTCTCAAAAAAAAAAAAAAGTATCTCAAACTAAGTATGATGACACATTGTAATACCAACACTTGAGAGACTGAAGCAGGAGGACTGCTATGAGTTTAAGGCTGGCCTTGGCTAGAGGTAAGACCCTGACTCAAAAACCAATGACAGACAAGTAGCAATTACATAGTTCATAAATTTTATTTTAATTTTATTATTTTTATGTGTATGTGTGTATTGCCTGCATGTAAGTAAGTGCACCCATGTTGTGCAATGCCCTCAGAGGTCAGAAGAGGCTGTTGGATCCCATGGAACTGGAGTTATGGACAGTTGTTATCTGCCATGTCAGTGCTGGGATTCGAACCCAGGTCTTCTGCAAGAACAACCAGTGTTCTTAACCGCTGAGCCACTCTCCAGCTCATATAGTTCATACATTTTATATTATGAATGTACAGTGTAGACAGGCTCTGGCCCTGACTGAGAACTACTGACCTCTGTGTGCTGAGATGGTAAGAATGGGGAAGGGAAATAAGGAAGAGAAGATGGCTTCTCTCTATGTGGCCCCCATCTACTCACCTGTTCATCTAGCTACCCATATTGTCACTTACCTATTTATCTATTCATCCTCCAATAATAAATGTGTCTATCCAGGTGTTTGTCCATCCACATTCATCATCTCTTCATTCATTCATTCATTCATCCATCCATCCATCCATCTTCCATCCATCCAAAAATCCATTCATCCACTCACCCATCCATGCATTCATTCAATTTTCTATTTATCCACCCATCAATGAATCCAAGTATCAATTGACCCATCCATCCATCCATCCATCCTTCCATCCACCCACCCCACCCATTAATCCATCCAACTATCTCAATCCTTCTGACTATCCATCTCTCCTCTCCCCTCTTCTCCTCTTGTCTTTCTTTCTCCCTGTCTCTCTATGTCTCACCTGACTGCCTCTCCCCTTCCCTTCCCTTCCCTTCCCTTCCCTTCCCTTCCCTTCGCTTCCCATCTTCTCCCCTGACCCTGTTTCTGTCTCACCTGCCTGCCTGCCTACCTACCTCACCCTCCAGACTGCTGGAATTACATATGTGTGCCCTGATGGAATCAAACTAAAGCCCCCCAGGTTAAAGTGGATTCAAACCAAGTCCCCCAGACCAAAGAAGAATATTCAGAACAAGGAAGTAAGAAGTAAAATAATTCTAACT